GGTCCCCGTGGAGTGTCCTCTTTTTTAAATGTTTGAATATGGTAACCCTAATCTACACAACAAAGTTAGGTCCAGATAAACTGCCTTGCGTCGACCTAATTGTGCACTTAAATTTGTCTCCTGCCAGTGTAAGTGGCCCGTTGCGCCAACAGTGCACCACCTCTCCAGGCAGCACTGAACCAAAGTTTATGAGGTCGACCCATCTTGCTTGTAGAGACTGTGTTACCTATGGACCTTAATAGTCCTCCAGCAACTCTCCTACAATGCCCTACTCTGACCACTCTGGTCACCATTGTGAACTCCACTTGTTAGACCAGGGGTTGGCAACCTTTCAGAAGTGGTGTGCCGAGTCTTCATTTATTCACTCTAATTTAAGGTTTTGCGTGCCAGTAATACATTTTAATGTTTTTAGAAAGTCTCTTTCTATAACTCTATAATATGTAACTAAACTATTGTTGTATGTAAAGTAAATAAGGTTTTTAAAATTTTTAAGAAGCTTCATTTAAAATTAAATTAAAATGCAGAGCCCCCCGGACCGGTGGCCAGGATCCGGGCAGTGTGAGTGCCACTGAAAATCAGCTCGCGTGCCGCCTTCAGCACGAGTGCCATAGGTTGCCTACCCCTGTGTTAGACCCTCAACAGAGGTCTCCCTGTTCTCAAACTTTTGTACTGGTGACCCCTTTCACGTAGCAAGCCTCCGAGTGCGACCCCCCCTTATAAATTAAAAACACTTTTTTATATATTTAACACCCTTATAAATGCTGGAGGCAAAGCAGGGTTTGGGGTGGAGGCTGGCAGCTCGCGACCCCCGTGTAATAACCTCATGACCCCCTGAGGGTTCCCAACCCCCAGTTTGAGAACCTCTGCATTAGGGTTTATTTTTAACAACATTTTCCACAATAATTCCATGATTCAGCATTTCTGCTGACACTAGTCCACACCTATCGAGTCATATGCAATCAGAACAAGTCTCTCTCAAGTAGGCCTGAATCTCAGGCTGAAATTCTCCCAGGCCTGAGTTAGCTTTGAGGCAGTCAGTGTGGTATCATGGCATTGCTGACATTTTGTCAACACTGTGTATGGGCAGAAGGGGGAAGGTAGAGCTTGACATTAAAGTCTCACAAAGTGGCACTTGTGTGTTCGCCTGTCATCTTCTATAACAAATGAGATAACAACAAGTTCATTGTGGTAGAGATACGTTTGGGCCTAAAATGAGTGACATATTTCATAATGAGATGAGAAGCAGGCCATTGTCTATTAGCAGATGCTTGAGGTACCCAAGTTCCTCGAGCATAGGAGGGGGGTATTATGTAGACATCAAGTACATACAAACTCCATCTGTAAAAACTGCAAAGAAAATTACCACACTAAGAAGTAAAATATTATTGTGGCAAAGGCGGTAGAGAAATGAAACCATTTTAAAATATTTGACCTACCCTACACAGAATCCTGCACAGGTATTTGGGTAAGATGCTTACACATTAATTGCCACACTGGCATCCCCCTGTCATTATCTGATTGGAGAATTCGGATAAGGGGAGTGTGGCTGGACATTGGCTCTGACTGTATAGTTGCTTAGCAGGTTGAGTGGGAGTGGCTTTAAATGACACCTCCCCTTCCCTAAGTGACAGACTAAACTCAATGCATTTGGGATAGAAATAAGGTACAAAGACTAACAACTGAGAAAAGCAGTATAAAAAGAGCAGTAAGAGAAGGTGAGTTACGGAACATGAAGGCGGAAACGTTTAGCTGACGTTCAAAAATTCTGTAGATAAGTTTTGTTGCTGCTTTTATTTTTATATTTATTTAATGGTGAATAGGAACAGTGTAGATACTGCAAATAAAAAACATCCTAGGTCTGGCTGTGTCTCATTTCTCTCATGTTGAGGAATTGATCTTCTCCTGCAATCTGAATTTTTTTTTTGACTGTGTGGAAGTCTGGTCAACGTCCTCTCCCCCCATTTTAAAATAATAGTTTGCACCAATATAGCACATTTCATCCAAGTGTGTCACAATTCCTTTACATCATACTCAAATGCACAATCTTATTTCCTACAACAGCTAGAGTAAGATGTAGTCTGTCTAGACATATGTATTCTGGTAATGTAGAGAAAGTGTTATTTGAGCATATGTGCACACAAAAAAATATGCAGCCAGAGTGCAGATTGTGCATTTCCGTGTGATTTAGTGAAGTTTGATGATGTGTGTATTATGGTTGATCATATGTTGAAAGCACAAGGGATTTATGTAGAGGAAAGGAGTCTGTGAGCTTGTTTGGGTATTGTGATGTTTGGCTATTAAGGCATGTGAAAGAAGGTTGACTGTCTTGATTTTTAATGATTGCTATGGAGGGATCTGCCCTTGAACATTCTTAACTCTAAATTAATATTTTTGTATGGAGGAGAATTTCACAATGGATGTATAGCAACACTGACAGTGTTCATAGGAATAACTATAAACATTGGAGTAAGTTATCCTTCATATGTTCCACAGTCTCTGTTATAGGCCCACTTCCTTTACCAACCCATCACATAGCTGTGCTCCTCTACCACGTCCCTTCCAGAGCCCCATTACCCTTACATCTGTTACCTCATGGTCTACATGCACATACTTAGCCTTTCCCCCTCTATACATCCCCACCACCACATTCAACTTTTAAACATTGCTACATAACTTCAGAAAGCTGAATGCTGTAGGAGGGCATGGTGGGAAATAGCGATGTGGTCAAGGGTATGTTACTGACTAGGGAGATCTGAGATGTAGATCACAGAGGCAGTGTTACAGGGGAGAAAGGAGGACTGGGCTGTGTGGGAATCTGGGTGGGAGAAGTAAAATCCTGTCCCATGGTTCATCAGAGCATCTGCAGGTAATATTCATCAGAGCTCCTCTCTGTGCTGCATATCCCAGCTTTTGACTAAAGCCTCACTTTTTCTTCCATGTGTTACTTCCCTTCACATTCCCGCACACTATTTCCCTGCTAAATTGCCCTCTCCCTCCCACACCTGCCCACAGAGGTGCACTTTTCTGTGGTAGGGGGATTGAATAGGGATGGATGGAGATCAGGAATGCATGAAGGGGAAGGGAGCTAAAGTTTGGAGAGCCAGAGCTTTGCATGTGTTGCGGGATCCT